TTTTTTTTTTTTTTTTTTTTGTTAAAGCGTAAAGAGTTTCGAATGTTCTAATCGAAGAAATTTTTTTTTATTTCGAAGCGAACTTGAAAGAACTTTCTATTTTAAGTTCGAGGAAGAGAAGAAACTTTCCTTCCCCTTATCCGAAAAGTAATTTCTTCGTTTTTTTTTTTTTTATATAATAAAAATTAAAAGAAGGGATAAATTAATTCGTCGAAGAAGAGAATTTCGTCCCGAAGAAAACTATCGAAAAATTCACAAGCCACTTTTCTTATCCTTCCAAAGAATAAAACGAAAGAACCATCCATTTCGAAAAGAAAGAAGAATCTAAAAAATCCTTATCCTATCGAGAGACTTTTTCCAAACTTCCAACAGTCATTTCCAAAGAATTAACTCTCCCAAAAAGTTCGGTTACAAAATCTCTTCTCAAAGAAACGTTACGGGAGAAACAAAAGGGAAAAGATCCCTCAATTAGATTCCTCGGTCGATCATCCTCGCACGACACTCGAAAGGGGTTGGTACCCGTATGAGTCCGTATGCAGATTGCCCGATTGTCTTCGCCTCTGTCTTTCTTCTTTTTCTTTTTTTTTTTTTTCCCTTTTTTCTTTCGCCTCGAACAACCCCTCCTCCCCTCTCCTCGTCCTCTCCGCGCGTCGGCCCGTTCCGTGAGAATGTACGGGGCATTTGCATGCCGCGGATTATTTAAATCGTCCCCTTATTGTCGTGGCTCCTTGTTTTTTCCACTCCAAGAGTGGGTATTGGCGTGGGTCCCGAGGCTAGACAAAAAACCGGCTGATCCTCGGGACAGAACCCAAGGAAGCGTCTTCCGCATCCCCGCCACCTGAATCTCCACCCCTGGGGCACCCTGCCACCCCTGGTCATCACGGGGAACCAGAATTCCTCGTCCCACCTTGCGACACGTTGGACACGTGGACGTAGTAACGTTTCTTTTCGAGTTCGTCGGTTGACAAAGTCAGATTCGAAAACTAAGTTTAATAATCAGTGATAATCGAGCATACGTATTTTTTGAGTTTTTTCCGAAATTTTTCTTTCTTTTCTTTTTTTTTTTTTTTGGTGAACTGCTCTTCTCGAAATATTGGAATTCGAGTTGTAAGAAGTGAATTAACGCTTAAAATTAATCGATAGCTAATATGCTAAACGTTGGTGTCTTCGAATTATTCGAAATGGAAATTTTTTAAAATATAAAGAGAGATAGAAGCTCTTCAGATTATTTGACCGTCGTTAACATAAGAAATTCAGTGGAACGATCAATTTTTATGAAACGTATTATTTTCTCTGAAGAACTTTCTCATAAGAAGTCGAAGAAATAGAAGAAAAATACACGAAAAGTCGAAGATACTCCTTATCGTTATTTCGTGAGAAGGCAAAACAATCGCGCCAAGACCGTCAAAAAGGAGAAAAAAGAAAAAAAAAAAAAGAAAGAAGGAAAAAAAGCATCAAAATGGGGTTTCCTTTCAGAAGAAGAGACCCAAGGGTGCCGTTTCGCGGTCGAAAGGAGAGTTTCACCCTTAACGGCGCGTCCTCGAATCCGCGCGCACATTCAAATCAACCCTTCTCTCATTTTTTTTCGCGCTTCCGTCTGTTTGTTTTTTTTTTTCTCTCTACCGCCTCAGGGCGGAGCAAGAGGTATGCAAAGCGATCTTCAACCCTTTTTTCACCATCCATCAATTTCTTCTCCTTCTTCTTCGTCTTTTTCTTTTTTTTTTTTTTGTTCTACCTCGCGCAGTATCCACAGACTTCTTTGTCTTCCCTCCAAATTCTTTTCTTTCTCTTCCTCGTCCAAATTATGCAGGATTCTCGTACGGAAACACGGGGAGGAAGGGGAGAGGGAGATTAAAATAGGGGTACCTACTTAAAAAAAAAAAAAAAGGGTAGAGATCCTTTTTTTTTCGCGCGTTTCCTCGTCGACATCGCGAGTTAACGGCGCATCGTCTTCCGGGGGCGATTTTAATACTCGTGTTCCTTCATCCATTTCTTTTTTTTTTTTCTAGATGTCTCGTCCGTTAAAAAACCGTTTGCTTTTGCTCAGATTTTTTTTCTTTTTTTTTTTAGAGAGTTTAGAGAATCCTTTTGATCTCATTAGAATTCTACCTTTGAAGCGAGAAAAAAATCAAATAAGGAAGAAGTAGAAAGCAAATGCAAACATTGGACGATCGTCAAACCGACTTAATATTTTTTTTAAAACGAGGAATAAGATTGCATATAACATATAAATGATCCAAGTGTAGCTTGTATTAACAAAAAGAAAACAAAATTAGAAGAAAAAGATAAATATATATATTTTTAAATTTACATTTTCTTCTATCTAATTTTCTTTTTTTCTTTTTGAAAAACATTGAGTGAATTTTTATTATTTTTATTTTTGTTTTGCAGAAAGAAAATAAAATTTAAAAGAAAATACATGACTTTACGATTACACAATCGTTATCGACGATCGAAATTATTCCAATGATATTATTTATCGGTGCTAAAAAATTTCATATTAAATACGAAATCGGATTAAACTGATCGGAGATTCCATAAAACTACCCCCTTTCGCGATAATAATTCTCCATCTCTCCTAATCTATCGAAATCGACTCGATCTTCGATTCACAATTATTCGTAGAGAAACCAGTTCGAGGGAGAGATATATAGATAAACTAATAAAAGTATAAAGAGATACAATCTTGGACGAAGACATCCGGTTGGGAACGATTCTGCAATCGTTTATTCGATATATAAAAGTGAGCAAAGGGGGAAAGAAACGAGTCGCGAGTCGTAAAAATTTCGATTGATTGAAACTCCACCGGTCTCTTTGTTGCCAATTAACTAGTCCCTACCTCGTAATTACTCGCGTAATAATATCGCGTATAAAATTAATTCTCGAATTAATATCATCACGGCCAACTCGTTTCGACTACGAGGAATCGAAAAGAGGGAAGCGTTTTTTAAATTTGATGCGAAGATTATAACGCGGAATCGCGATTATTGGGAACTGATTGGGATCGGCGACGAAGATTCCAATTTTTCTGATATTTTGATCCAAATCTACATTTTTAAAATTTTTTCTACACTACAATTTTTCGCGATTAATAATTATTACTTTGGAATTTAATGATTCTATTCGAGATTTTCGATTTAATTATTAGATATTTTTTTCCAAATTTTAAGAATATAGTATTTATATTATATGTAAAGCAGAGAAAAAAGAGTAGGTTGATCGAAAATTCTGTCCGTTTTTTGATCGAAATTTCTATTAAAGTTTAACACGCATCTTCGATAAGTATTTATATATCGACAAATATTTCCTATTATTTATTTTCCTATTAACAAAAACGTATCAATGACGAAAATTTTTTGAATTTCAAAAATAAAAATGTATTAATCAACAGAATTTTACGATCTAATATCGTCATTATATTTCGAGTACCGGAATATATGAATAAAAAAATATAATAATAAAAAAAGAATAATAATAAAAAAAGAAAGAAAGAAATACGTAAAAAGTAAAAAGGACAAAGAATATACGCTTTGAAATAAAAATCTTCGATTTCTGGATATATAATATTCGACGGCACGAGCACGAGCGATACGAACTACGCACTAAGGAAACAGAACTACGACTGGATCTCCTTTGTTATGAAAATTTCGACGCGTATTCGACAAGTAACCTTTCGAGGCGTACGATTCCACGAACGCGTTCCAATCAATGGAAACGATAAATATTTGGATCGAAACGAGCGCGCGATAAGCCGACTTAAATAATAAATAAATTTTACGAAGCGATTAACTTCGATTATTACGACGACGTTTACTCTCTTTACAAACATTGTTCGGTAAGACAATTTTTATATTCGTAAAATTTCTTATCTAATCCTTATTTTCGATATTTTCTCTCTCTCTCTCTCTCTCTCTCTTTCTCTCTCTCTCTTTTTTAATTTAATCATATCGTGCCAAACAAAAATATATTATCATTTGTTACGATTTCAAAATTTCGAAGAAAATGAATTAAAAAAATAATTATTATTTTACCAAAAAAATTCAATCATATCATTTCCTCATAATTTTCAATTCAACTTACAATACAATATTATATACGAATACTCTTCGTCCCTTAATTTCAATTACGCGCATTTTTTTTTTCTTTTTATTAAAATTACAACGGATCAAAACTCTACCAATTAACACTACCAATCTTTCGTTCTTTCTAAAAAAAAAATAACAAACGACATCGTGCAAACGATATACTTCTTGATATATCTCTCGTTACGAAAAAAATCTACATATATGTACACATACGTTAACAACGACATCGTATAAAGATATCGAAGATATCGTAACGCAATGATTCGATTGGTCGAGAGAGATAAGGATAGACAAGAAAGAGAGAGAGAGAGAAAAAAAGTTTGTCAATTAAATTGTTTCATTACAAGTACTCACATCACCGGAGAGGCCGTTGTTCCACGGATAGGGTGGTTGAGGGGGTGACTGTTGCTGATGATGGACACCGCCCACCCCGGTGGCCGAGTGTGGATTGTGGATGTGCTCCGCCATCACGCTGACCCAATGGGCCAATCCACCGCCCCCGCTGGCTGTTGGGCCCG